CCCCCTCCCCCCCGCCCTGAGGCTCCTCCTCTGGCCCCACTGGCTTACTTTTGGCTGCCTTGCCTGCCCAGCCCAGAAAGTGACAGCAGTGGGGAGGACTGGGCAGGTGGATTCCTCTTTCCTGCCTGTCTCCCTGGTACAAGCCAGAAGCCAAAAGTTAACTGAGGGGACAGGAAAAATGCATGGAGATCTGGGTTGCTAGTGGATGTGGGGTGACATGCCTGATCTGGGAGGCATGGGGAAGCAGTTGGCCAATCCAGGTAGGTGGAAGACAGGGGCAGGGAATAGTTGGCCTAATCCAGGCCAGTGGGGGACAGGAGGAAGCAGGTGACAGCAGCTTGATAGGCAGGGGGGAGGCAGTGGGCCCAATCTGGGCCAGCAGGGGAGTGGGGGGGGGCAGGTGGGGTGTTTACACTAATGTATACTCCACCAATGCTAAATGCTTGTGTTACATGAGCTGGGTAACCCAAATCTGAGATAAATATGCCCTGAAATAGTATAACTTTAGGTTACTTAAATGGTACTGAAAACTAGTTGCACATGTTAATATGTGGACAATCCAGGGATTAATTGCTCCAGGAACTACCTAAAATTAATATGTAGCAAGGCCCTTAGGCAATGTATACTTAGGACTCTCTGAGATATCCACAGTGCCTTAATTGATAGATGTGGCCATGAGCTAAGAAGATCACACAGGAGGTATTCTATATCTTAAAGCACCCCCCTCTCCAACCTGGAGCATGTGTAAAGATGCCCATAGAGACTTTGCAGCCTTTTGTGGTAAAACACATTGCAAGCTGTTACAGTCTTCTGTATCAAAAGAATTTTGAATGGAGTTGATTTCATACTTAGTTAACACTGACAGGTTTTTAAGCAATTTACTCTCTTGTCTGATACTTTATAAACAAACAAACTTGGTCTAAATACTAATTATTCCATACCAGTGCCATCTCTGCATGGAACTGAACTGAAAACCATTTAAAGCAGAGCTGTCCAGCTGATAGTCTACGGGCTATATGTGCCCCCTGAGGGATTAAACTGCAGGCCACAAGCTCTTAGTGGTGTGCCCCACTTTACTTTTTGTTGCTCCTCCTCCTCCTTCCTTCAGCTTCTGCTTCCTGTCCCCATCCCTGAGGGTGGTGCAGAGTGGTGTAGATGGTGGGGTTCAGGGAGTCTGTGGCCAGAGGTTTTAGGGGGATCCAGAGCTCCACATGATATCTGCACTGGTGTAATGCAGTGGTAGTTGCCTACTGTGCAGTGAGGGGTGAGGGGCATGGCCTGGAGGGGCATGTGGCGCAGTGTGTCTGTGTGCACAGGATACTTCCATGGCGCAGTGAGTCTCTGCAGGCAAGGGCCCATGTAGTGCAGCAGGGGGAACTCATGCAGCCTTGGGATGTGTGGCTGGAGGGCTTTCAGCTCTGGCCACTCAGAAGTTGGACAATCCTGCTTTAAAGCAAACCAAGATTTATGCCCTTTTTCACTGGAACTGATGAACACAGAATTTTGAAAAACAAAAGTTCTTTGGCATGGAAAAACCTTTATCCTTCAGAGAAAGAAATAGTTTAACAGAATATTTGTAATCAGCTCTTATATAGTTTAAAACAAATAGCCACAATCAAGTAACCCTTCTGGCTAGAAATAATGTGTAAAAGGAACTTAGGCGAATCTGACTAAATGGAATGCTTCAAAGTAATTCAAAGGGAATGGGAGGCTAGGAGATGAGATGCATCGTTCCTGTATCTGAGTCAGTTACCAGTTTATTCTGTGACCTTGCTGCCGAGCATACTTCTATTTAACCAAACACTCTATAATGTACAGGAGATTAACAGTGATGGAGACAGGAATCAGAACCCAAGACTTCCCCATGCTGGGAAAATATGAGATCCACCGAACTCCAGAGATAGAATTCCTCTTGCTTGTTCCTAGCCCTATTTATGCACATTACTTTACACAGCTGTGAGTTAAAAATTTTAAAAAAGCATGGCAGCAGGTATGTAAACCAGGAGTCCTCCCCCTCCACAGAAATACTATATCCAATGGACTATGGAATCAGGTTCCAAAGGAGGTGTTAGAGAGTTCATTAACCCAGACTAGTGAATACCGATTGTTACAGTTACCTCAGGGAAAGTGGGAGAAGCAAGTTCTATTTCCCTCAATGGAGGAATGCCTACTGCCCCCCTGCTTCCTGGGTGTGTGGTCTAACCACTAGGACATTGGATACAAGGTGTCTTGGAAGTAGAACTAGGTGTTATCAATGGCAAATAAAGAGAGATGCTTAATGCACAACAGAAATCAGGCCCCAAGTCCCCAAGATGTGGTCAGACATACACTCTACTTCATTGTACCCTTTTGGCCACTTCCAGTTCTCATTTCACTTTCTGAATTACCTTTTGGAAGGTCACCCCCTATTCACCAGGGAGTACACCTCAACCAAGTAGACACCTCAACCAAATTCCTTTTAGGCAGCTTCAAAATCACTTCACTGACTCAAAAGGGGTCCAAGGAGCACTCAGCATGCTTGCTGAAACACTTTGAATCCTGATCATAATGGGATTTTGAAAAACATTTAGGTGCTTAATTCCCATTGATATCTATCGAAAGTAGGTACTTAGTTATCCAGTAAGATTTTCAAAAGCACATACCTGCATCTTAAATTACCTCAATACTCTTAGCACCTAGGTATAGCTAATGGATGGAGGTATTTTTATCTGTTTATGTGCATTTTTTTTTCAATAAACATCAATACAGAATTTGTTCCCAAGAATGTAACAAAATGTTCTGGCAATCCAAGTTTTAAAATATTATGAT